TTCTTCCTTCTTGCTTTTACCATATCGCCTCCCTAGTTTGGCCGCTGGTTTGAGTGTCTTCCTTCTAGCGTTAGTCGCAAGACTACATAACCACTTTCGCCGTGGGCTCCTCGCGGTTTGTTGTCCTTTTGTCTATAGGGTTTCTCGTGATCACTAGATCCAGTATGGACGGCTTGTCATTTGCTCTAAACTTGATGGCTTGTCGCAAGTGTTGTGATAATGCGTTCTGATTTAGCCACTCTAAAAGCAGTCCACCTCCGGCACCTGGAGGTGACCTGTCTCTACTTCAATTGAAGTCCCCTACTAGAAACACCCTTCTGAACTTGCAAGGAATAAGTGTAGGTGAGCATTCAATTCCTGATCTTTTGTTGCAATCGCCTGTGGAGCCCGGTAGATGCACATGACGGCTAATGCGTTTCTGTCCATTTCAACTACACAACTAATGGCTTGTATGTTGGAAGTCACTAGGGCTGCTGCTGCCTCCCGCTACGTGTGATCTGACTTTATCTTTATAAGAACCCCTCCTCTTGCCTACCATTCATCCTATCTTGTCTATGAATTGTGCAGTCATCCATCCCCGGGGTGCTGTAGTGCTTCTGTATCAATCCAGTTATGGCCACGATGTCCATACCTGAGGTGCGCCGTAGCCCCTTTCACCAGTTATCCCATATGCTCCAAGCATTGGTATACCACAGTGTGACTGTGTTTACTTGAGCGTGCCTGCTGGAACGGAAACTCATTTCTGGGGGAGCGTATTGTCCGGAGCGTTACTCCTTTTTTGGTGGTGGTGGTAGGTGAATGCTGTGGTCGTGGCTTCTTTCACTTCCCAAGCCACTTTTATCCCTGAATATGACTATTATCGTCATTCCAAAAGCCTCCTGTACCCCGTGGCTACATCCTCGTTCGCCTTTGGAGTACTTAATCTCCGTTTCAATCGCGGAACCGGGGACTTTGCGGCTACTGGGGAGTTCGCTATTATTGTCGCCCATGTAACTGGTTCGTCTCAGTTCACCATGGCTTCCTTCTCTGTACTGCCAGCTGCCATTAATTTCCTTAGTTGTGGGGCCTTGTCCTGTGTTCGTGGTCGGTTAAACCTTACCTTGTGGACCACGGCGTTGCCTTCTTTAGAAATCTCCTGTAGGCCCTTTCCTACAAATGGTTTTGCTGGTACCTTCTTTGGTATTTTTTGGATGCATTTGCTCAAAGGTTCTCCAGCACTTGGCACGCGAAATACTACGTCTTTGGTGTGCATTATTTCCTCTTCTAACTGGGTGCATCACCCTGACAGGCGTATCGGGGGTGACTATTATACGCCCCTGAGTAAGATCCTCGATCCTTGAAGTTCTTGATAGTGGTAGATCTCTTATTTTTGGTTTTGGAAACACTACTAAGAGAAGCCTTTGAACACGTAAGCTTTCTTCTTTCCATAGGCCAATTCTATGGCATTTGGTGTTTGCGGTGTTTAGAGGCAACCCTGCTACCCTAAAAGTGTTTTGCTCATGTCGATATTCAACTTCTAGCCTCAACTTCACCATGTTTATAACTGGCTCCGTGCAGTTATGCAGGAGCAAGTTCTTAGTCCTTCCTAGAAAAACTTCGCTTCTCTTTTTAAGCAGCTGGAGTTCTCTCGCCAATCCGTTGTACCGTTTCCCGGTAGTTAGGATGAATCTCAGGTTTAACCAAAGTCTTCTTATTCTTTAGAGACCTCATAGTCCGTGGTTCAACCTACCTGTTTCGGTTTTCTACTTCTCTTATTGGTGCACTTTTATTTGGGAATGACGCAGAAGTAACCCTTACGTTTTCCCTTTGTTTTCCTTATTCTGGGGAGCCACTGATGCATTCAGAAATGTCCTGAACTGCTCGGCTAGTGTTGAGCAGTGGTGACAAACACACTTAAGGGACATGTGCTCCATGTGGAATTGATGCTCCTTTTTGCTTATTTGAGAGTATCTCTGATAGAGCCACACTCTACAGTTGTCGCATTAAATCCCCTGGGCGACATAATCTCCGAAACAAGTGGCCACACGAGCGTTGGAGACCTTTGTTTGTGTCATTCCAAATTAAACAAGAATGTCTAAATAACTAGTTCCCTAACTCTGTAAAACTAGATATGGCGTGATATAAAAACGTAAAAAATTGCGCTTTACCAAACTCAAAATTAAATGCTTTAGACCTGCAAAACATCAGAAAAATTACCTGGTTTAAGGTTTGTGATCTTTGACGGATCAGGAATGATCCTGGTAAACGGAAAAATTCCTACAAGAGTTATTCGAGTTAAATATCCACTGATATTTCCCTAATACCGGACAAAAGTGTAAACAAGATAGAGCACAGTGGGAATTCGAACCGCGCACGAATGTACCGCAAGATGACATTGCTTTAGTGGAGTTGTCCTTTTGGTCCGTCTGGGCAACTCTGATAGCCGGAGAACTACGTTCAACCGGAAGGATTCGGAGAATCACTGTGTTGCAAAATCAAGCTTTTTGCCGGAGAATACACCAGAGTAGGAGTGATCTACCGAACACCGGTGGTGTATGTTTTACAGCTGTTGGCCAGCATGCAGAGGTACGCCTGCGATGGACATTCTCGTATCTTGGGTGATTTCGGTGAGCCACGTGTTGACTGAGAACTGACATATGCTGGCAGCACGCTAATTTGCTTTCCAGAGAGCTTCATTCTGCTGTTCGTGCACTCTTACGTGTTCAGCATATCCATGCACCTACCCGAATGGTTAGCGATCATCTTTCACTGGATGCTCTCGCCGAGGCAATCAGATACGACCGGGTTTGCCCTCCTCCCATCAGTTGCATTTAGTGATAACTCCCTTCTGCGAATACAATGGAGGCGTAATGTACTTCACACGGACAGATCAAACGGCGAACGGAATTTGTGGCACTCATCTTTTCCGGAAATGCGTCAATCTGCAGCAGTTATGAATTAGGATTCCCATAACCCCGAGGATGTGGATGAATCCTGGGAGTCATTCCTTCACAGAATCCATCACGTCATTCGAGAATTCTCTCCACCTCACCTCCACCGAACAAACGCCATGGGTTCACCGTAGTTTCATTGTGAACTGCGAAATTGCCTCTCGCAGCGAACCAAAGCCTGATCGAGGTATTGCGAGACATGCACGAGATATGTGGAACATCGTGTTATCGGAATCTCTGTACTACACTATAAAAATCTAAGAGGATAATCTTCGAGGAACGCATCGCAGCGAAAGCTTTACAGACGCCAAAGCAGATTTATGCCTTCCTTAAACGATGATTTGGAGCTAATCCCGGCCTCCCGAATCTCGCCAAGGACGGGTTACTGACCGACGATAAGGACGGGGCGGAGATGTCGGCATCTCATCACAACTTGGTGTGCTACCCATACTTGAACACATCGTAACATCCACTGGGCACTGACACTGCCCCTAGTGGGACTCCATTTACCATCAACGACCTGTATGGTCAGCTGCGCAGCGCTTCCCTCATGTGTACGGAAGACATCAAAATCTAGCATACAATCTAGGGTATAGAGGATCGGAAAAATACCTAAACAACCGAACTCAGTGGGTGGGCACTTCGGCCCCTCCAGTCAAGCCGAGCGTGCTTACATGCATATGGGGCGTGTTAATTAAGAGTTGGTCTAGATTCCCCAGGGAACCACATTGCGCAGAATATCGCGAAGGAGACCTGGGAGCTAAGGTGACGTCATCATTGAAGACTCGAGAAATCACCGATAGGGTCTGTTCCAAAGCGTGGAGCATTTTGAGCCCCATTCGGAGATCTTTCAGTGGGCTCACGATGAACACTTTCACAGTGCTGTGCGCTTTCCACTTCAGACGGAGATTTGAGTACCGCTACGAACCTTTGCACGGCCGGTGAACTGGCCAAGTTGAAGCTTGCACAACGTGCTACCATTAGACTCGTTATTGGACTACGTGGGACCAGCTATGAAGGTCGTCTACAGGCTACTGGTCTGTTCCCAGTTGCGTATCAGCGCCTCGGAGGAGATCACATCTGTATGTAGAAGATCCTGAGCGGTGATATGTTCGAGGAGTTAGAAAGTTTCCGTGACTGACAGGAGAACGTACGCGGGGCGCTCTCTCATGTTGAATAAACTTCAGTCAGATGTTCTACCGTTTCTGGTGGAGGTAAATAACGCTCTGGAATTTCTTTTCAGCAAATGTGATGGAGGAGAAGACCGACGCTGCCTTCAAATGGCGTTTGGATGAGCAGCTTAAGGGGTTATGGAGGAACAAACACATGTGCCTCGAGCTTGGACCCAGCAGTGATGGGGCTCACACGGGTATCCTGTCCTCTGCCCTCAATACTAAGGACTGACTTGGACCGATTGTAAATCCGCTGATGTGATTTTCCGTTTACGTTTTATCATTATTCGTGTGACCGTTTCATCATTTTTATTCTAAATATAATGGTAATATGTTTTTTTACTGAAGTGTAAACACAGTTGCTTGCACAATGAAATACAGTAAAATGCAATACAATACAAAACAATAAAATTTAATACAAATATAAAAATTAACGCGATCAATTCAACACTGGCTTGTTTAAAATTCACGATAAGGCTATTGGTATATGTATGAGGACAACTTTTCCTCCTGATCTGCCTATTCTTTTATGACTGCACAAGGAAGACACTCCTCTCCTTTCACACTTTCCCCTTTCCTTTATTAACTGATTACGTCAGCTACATTTGTTAGTAAACAGTACTGAACCTTTGAAATGCATTTATCATATTTTTTTTCGCTTTAAAGACTCCGTTTGCTGATTAATTTCATCAAATAACTCTCATTTTTGGTATCTTAGTTCCGTGAAAGTGTGATCGAATCATTGCGTAAAATATGCTGAAGTCTATGGCAAGATAGTAGATTCATGTGAAAATATAAGATTATTAAGGGATTAGAGACAGGACAGGCTATTAGCGCACTATCAGCCAACGATGTGCTACTTGGGTTCTAATTTGTGGTATCTATATGCTAACACGAATGAAATATAATAAACAGTAGAATGCTACCTTCAGTTTCTAAACGTATGTAGGAAATAACGATGGTTAGCCTTACTGAAACCAATGTGAGTGAACAAATAAAGTTAGGGGTCAATTATAACGAAGAGAAAGCGTTTGTCAATAGAATAAAAATTGAAAAATTTAATGCATCATTAATGAGAAGATACTAATTTATCATATAATTCTGCACAACTGGAATGGGAAAAGACAAGTTTTGGGAAAAACGCGAAAGTCAAAGTGTTTTAGGCGCAGAAAATGCCTCGATGTGTTGGCAGGGTTCTAGTCTTGCTGTATAAGCGCTTATATCCCTTACATACCGGCATTTTGTTCAATTATTTGCTGTATAACGTAAAACGTTTATTATTTTTACGCCCAATCGGCGCACGTTACCCGCCAACATCCCATGCTGATTGATCTATCTGGGACGTTTTGGAGTAGGCATAATTTTTAAATGATTCTTAGATTTCTTTTATAAATTTTTAAAATAATTTGTGCGTAGTTGTGTGCTCTATATAGAAGTATATTTTCGTGTCGTTTGTTTTAATTCGTGACCCTGAAGTCATGTCTGCTTCTACCATGTGTCGAATTTTGCACGAATTCCATGAAGGTGCTTGTGTGGAATGCATGCAAAATGGTGGATTGTTACCTAAACAGCGAACATGTCCGTGTGAACGATTAGTGAACTTTCAAGAGTTTGCCCGCTGTCGTGGCTTTGCTTTTCGATGTGCTACCTGTAAGCGGCAAACATCACTTTGATCGGGTAAAATTTTGAAAAATCTCAGTTGCTATTGTCTACCCTAATAGAATTAATTATTTATTTCATTACGGAGAAACCGGTCAATCGGGCTGCATTGATGGCGAAGGTTTCTAGAAGGAGCGCATTACAATGGTGCATTTACTGCCGTGATATTTGTTCCTCAATCATGTGATCGCTCAGTAGGTGTTGGAGTTGTGGTTGAGGTTGACGAAAGTCTAGCCGGTAAAAGTTAATATGGACGCGAGCTACCAATAACCAGTGCATGGATGTTTGGGAGGTACGATCGGAGTACACATTATTGCTACTTTCATAGAGTTGGGGCTTGATCTGCCGAGAATTTGTGACCCATTATACAACGCTGGATGCAATCAGGAACTACGATCAATGGGCGGTTTATTGCTCATTGCGTTCTTTTAGATTTATAAACGTGTATCAACCACAGAGACCGACGACCTGTCGGTGATGTTATTTTGGAAAATGTGGACGAGGTCCAGCCCAGTCAGCACGAGTGTAAGACGTTTTATTGTATGATTTGAAATTACGTACACCGGACCTATCTTTACTCGGTTCACAATCCAAGAATTCATGTTTGGTCCAAAACAACTCCCAGTTTATTGACCTTTGCCAACCAAATCGAAATTTCTACTTTCCTCCTCCATGAACATTTTGGTTTTACTTTTCCGTAATTCCCTTGTGATTACATAACCGCTCCACATAGCAACTCCCGGTATTAATCATCGCATCCCGTTCTTCGTCCGGCCTGTTATCGCGATATATTATCTACACTCCACATGGAAACCGTTTGGTACTGATTGTCGTGACCCTTTCCTCGTTCAACTTGTTACTGTAATCTTTTATCTCCACCCCACACAGAAACTGAGTCGTGGTAATTGTCGTCCTATTCTCGTATTATACTATTGCCACCCTTCATAGAACTTTGTCGTAGTAACTGTCTGTTCTGTGCTTAATCCATTATCGTTTTCAACTATCTCGATCTGGCATAGAAACTGTCGCTTGTTATTGTGGTCACCATTTCATCACCCACCCGCTATGTTTACCTTACCGTCTTCACCGTTCATCCCATTTCACACCCAGTTGTTTCTTGACCCACATACTACTGCCCGCCCTTGTGTGTTTAACCTTCCCAGAGGCCCTCCTCGTGTTCGTTGTCTATTCTCTCCATTACACCGTGATTACGGTTGCCGTTTGTCCCCCCCGACTTTGATGTCACTTCGCTTTCCCATCCCTGTGATTGGTCCTCACCGCCCCTTAAATAGCGCTGTCTCTATATCCACATTGCATTCCTTCTCTGATTTCCAAGAGAGTGTTCTCCTGGCACGTTTGCTCTTGTCGTATTGAACCGATAGTTCTGCCCATACCGGGTTGCTCCTACTTTGAGGTATGTTGTTGTATTTCCATTGATTCATGAGTCGTTATGCAGTACACGTAGATTTGTAGTGACCATGATTGTACGAAGAAAAGGAGCAATCCACGAGGACGTTTTCCGTTCATATTTTCTTCACAATCAACTCTGACTCGAACTGTGATATTTTCTGTGTTTTACTTCTGTTTGTTTTACCGAGCACGGTTTTCCGCTCAGGCGTATATATAAGCTGGGTCCTGTTCAAACCCAGGCTACACGTGTGACACGCTATCGCTCTGCTACTGCATTTGTTGCTTGCTTTGTTTAGCGTCACCTTGGCACGTTTCGGTACTATCTAGTACCACGATTCGCCAATAAACGTCTACGACTCCCACGAGTGTTTTTGTCTATTTCGGGCAACGAGACACTAGGAGGTCGCGCGATACTGAGACCCGTAAGAATATATACCGGAAGGCCGTCAATTCCGGCAAGCTTCAGATTTCCCAGCCTTGTGTTCTGACGCGCATTCGGGGTTTCGGTATCTGCGAGTCACTCTTTCACTGGACTTCAATCCGGTACAACGAGCGTCACCGTTTAGTCACCGAAAACGCACCGTTTCATCACGCAAGAGCCACCGATAAGTCACCGATTAGCACCCATTGAAACAAATTGGTGACTGTCGGTGACTGTCGAAAAAATTTGGCAGCTAATCATTGTACTTTCCCAATCTTATTTTCATGGAAAAACCACTAGCCATCTTTCATTGAACTACGTAGGCCCACTAATTTCGGAATCCTAGCCCTTTAAAACCCAGAGACCGATCGAAGTCAAATATCCTAGGGATCGAATCGCGCAGTCTAATCCGAACGTTTCCCACTATCTATTGCTCCACACGTTTTTCTAACTTTAATTGTTCTAAAAATACTTCACCACTGTACCTTAGTGTTTCCATGGTCACGCAGCTAAACCTAGAGCTCAAGGTACAATCTCGATACGAACAATATTCGCCAAGCAACACCCATGGAGAAAAAAATAAGAAATAAATACGAAATGAAAAGTAGCTTTTATTATACAGTTGTATTTGTACAAACGGATTCCAGAAGGAAAATTATTCTTCGTCGGCCATTTACATCTGAAATGCAAAGTCAGAATAAAAATCCCTCATGTTGTTCCAGAACCAACGGAACAATATTGAAGTAAGGAATCTAGGGAAAAGCAATACAAAAAAGACCAATGACACGTTTTTTAGCCATAATCAATTGAAAATCTATGTAGCAAATAAACAGTACACGCAATAATGCATTATTATTTCTTTTATCAAATAAACATACAAAAAATACATACCATTGACACTGGACACCGAGTAGGGGCAGTTGTCGGCGGATTCATTGACTGATCCACCGCTGCATCTTACCCTTGATGATGTCCAGATCGCTGACCGATACTCCTTTTTTTCTTATGGCGTCTATCTATCAATTAGTAAAAGTACAACCATTACCGTATATTATTTTGGCAACTTTAGTGTTGCACAACCCCGTTTTGCCATTGGAGCCTCTCCAGTTAATGCTGAAGCACAAACTGTCGGCCAGCAGAAGTCTGCACATTGCGCGGACACAGTGACTGACGGAATCTGCTCCAAAGCGTGAAAGGTAATTAACCTGCAATGTGGCATAATTAGTAAATGATTACGCACCAGATCCCCGTAAAACGATTAGTCTTCCATCTTCTTGATCGGATCGTTCAGATCGGATACAATTTTCGCAGGTATGCGGCAATTCAGAATGGGAACGTCGTTCCTGCGATTTGATTTCCCTATACAAACTTTTCCTATTGATATTGACACTTATTTAGGACGCATTAAACAAATTTTTCCCTATGAATCATCGTTTTTCTTGAGTAAGTAACTTTTTATTCAATATATACTTGTTTAATGTAATCTATGATAAGAGTGTTTTTATTTATTAGCTATACCACTTTTGAGTAGTATATTTTCAATTGCACCAATGTCGCTACATGCGGTGCCGGCGGGTAACGTCAGCCCCGAAATCATATTTTCACATTTTTGCAAATATGAATCATTTCACGGAAATGTATAACACGCCTTTAACAATGACCTTCAAGTCGAACTTGTGTTGTCAAGTGGAGCGCTCAAACAACCGTACTTTCCAATCGGCTCCTCTGCAGCAATCTCAGTT